AACTCCCTTGGTATTATTTCTCACAAGCCTTGTTCTCTCAGTTACAAGCATCCTGCTTGACAGACCCAGGATGTAAAAAGCCAGACCCATGTGACACATTTATTACTCTGCCCCCCACACCCCATGGCTCACCAATTAGGGCTGGGAGTAGGATTAGGGTTTAAGGTTAGTGTGGTTCTGAAAAGACTGTGGGGTTATTGTTGTTGTTGTTCTGATCCCATCCCTCATGAATGCAGAATCACCTGATGAAGAGTGCTGGAAGGGTAAAGAAGGCCAAAGTGACGGCCAAGCTCTCCACAAATGCCATAAAAATTGGGAACATGATGATTCACCCTTTCTTACGCAAACTGCTACTGCAATTTTCCAGCATAGGGAAGAGAATTTGTCCGTGTCCTTCATTACTCACACTCAGTAGTCAATTGTTTTTCAAAATACTTTTACACACAAAATTAGGTCACCTGTACTGCAAAAAACAGTAAGGCTCCCTCAGAGCTGTACAGTAATAAGTAATGAAGTTTAACCCCCCACTCCCCCTGTTTTTCTGAACTGGGCTGTGTGTGGAAGCTTCTGGTGGCAATGAGGGCAGCAGCAGCCTAATTCCAGTCAGAACTGTCACGTTCCCCACCACGTTCCCATCTGTCCATGCTACAGGGGAACCCTTAATCTCCTTCCCATGTGGATTATATACATTGCATAGAATAGAGCATGTGGGAATGACTGCACAGTGCGGACATTCCGTGTGGAATTTGAGATGAGATTGAATAAATGGGCTGTGTGTGTTTGGACCCCCCAATGCTATGCTATGCTATATTAGGTCATTTATGCAGTTGACTCTCTCCTTTGACCCTAACCCCACATTTCCCCATTAATTCTTTGCCCTACTCCCTCTCTTGCAATTAACTAAACACATCAAACATGTTAATTAAACACATCAAACATGTTAATTAAACACATCAAACATGTTAATTAAACACATCAAACATGTTAATTAAACACATCAAACACAAGAACACATATAAGTTACTTTGTTGATGTACATTCAACGGATTCAATGGGGCATAAACAAACACTATTATGCTTTTTTTGCATTCAAAGATGGTTGATAATAAGCCATGTTTGCCACTTTTTTGAAGACTTATTTATTTTTTGCTCATAATAACTTGCATTCCATGGTTGGCTTCTTCTTACATCCATGTTTGGAGCTTCTTCTTCTCCTTTGTCTTTAATTGTGAGAAATTTGTAGTGATTTATTTATTTTTATTTTTACTTTCCTTTCTTCTATGAAGTTTAAATCGTTGGTTATAAAATGAAAAGAAGGTGGACTTTGGAGACCATTGTGATAATATACCTTTGGGTTTATTCTTTTTGGATTTTTATGTTTTGGGCAAAGCCATGCCTAAAAAGGACTCCATGTCTATATTTGAATGGGTAATCCTACCTCACTTGAACATTTTATTTATTTATTTTTCAAACTTTATTTGTTTTCTTAAGAAAGAGGGAAATAAAAAGGAACAGATACATAAATATCTAAATTAGGTGATGACAATTTTGGTTGTGATGCATAGTGAGGAGGTAAAACTTTATAGTATAATAATTGAAAGGTAATGCGTTTCTTCAAGTTGAAATAAAGATTTTAATTTATTATTGTGTACATATAATTTATATTGAGATTGAATTCAATTTGAGATGATTTTTGAATTATTCTTCAATACCTTTTTGGGGAATTAGATTTCGGTGTGTGTGTATTTACATAACACTTCATTGCATGTTCTAATATCTTTGCATTGTTGATTTTTGAAAACATTTCAAAACTTTAAGTATTTTAACAATTTAATAAGCATAGTAATAATGCTTTTGTGTACATTATGTCTTACATACCATCTAAATCTTTTTTTTTTTTTTTTTTTTTTTCTCAATAAATTACAGCCTTCATTATATATATATATATATATATATATATATAAAGATTATCTCTAGTATATGCATGCATACAAACAGACACACATACATATATACAATTACTGATTCACAAAATAGATTCAAATAATAGTAAGAATATAGAACAAAAATACCCTTTATCTAAAAAAAATCAACCACAATTTTTTTGTTTAGTCAATATAGATTTTTTAAATTAAACCTACGTTTAAATATTTCAAAATAATAAATAAAACACACACACACACACACATATATATATATATATATATATATATATATATATATTATCAACTTATTAAATTAAATATTTTATAAAGTGTTGAACTTCAAATATGTGGTGGTCTTGTAAATATTATGCACATATATAATAAAGAAAAATATATAAAAACTCAGTTAATACGTTATATATATATATATATATATATATGTGTGTGTGTGTGTGTGTGTGTAGTATTATATACTATATATATGTGCGTAGTATTATAAAACAAATTATTGCAATCAAATGCAAATGTTTACTTAATATTTAAGAAAAACATTATATAAGTAAAAGAGCAATATATACATACATAATATTATGCAACAGGTACTGTTAAAAAGAGGATGAGAAGAATGCTGAGTGCAGAGAGTGAAAGGGGCGAACAAGAGAGTGTGGAAGTATTATTTATGACAGCATTAAATAGAAGCAAAACTAAATTGCATAATAGCACTAGAGCTAAACATTTATTGGCATTGTACCAATGGACAATCTTCTTTTCGTAATCACTTTAAAAACGGTTAGCAAAATAAAATAAATAAAAAAATAAAAACAATTAATTGCATTTAAAGTATGTTGAATTTTGATGTGAAGCATGGCATATTTGTTTTGTTTTGTTATGTTTTGTTCTTTTTATTCCACACCTATTGTCATTATTATTACTATTTTGGATATTCATAGAAACTGAAATCCAGTTATAATACAAACTACCATACTATATAACTTCATTTTGTATACTATTATAATTACTTATGTTGATACAAAATATGAAAATAGACGGTTTAATAAGTAGTTTAAATGGAAACAATGGGATCAAAAATCACACAATAGCATTTGATTAGTACCACATAAAAAATATAAAAAATATAAAAATAAAATAATATATATATATATATATATATATATATATATATAATGAAATTAAAAAGTTCAACATTCAAATAACAGAATGCAACAGAAAAGAAATATAAATTTCAACTGCATGAATCTTATGTTTTTGACATATGGTATGTTATTTAGTTTGTACTAGATTTAAAAAAATTACATGTGCACTGAGTGTTATTATTATTATTATTATTATTATTAAATCCATATTTTTTTATATTTTTATACATTTTGGTTAAGAACAGAAAAAAAATAATAATTACACGCATGTTGAATAACTGAATTATTACATCTTTAGAAAACGATTTTTTTTGTTTATGACTTTGACCTCAAAATTTGAAAATGTATGGTATTTTACCGTTACTATTTTAGTAAAACAATATCTCTTCCTAATACATGTACATGAAATAAACAAGATTTTTTTTTTCGGAGAAATATAGTGCCTATTGATGTAACGTGAAAGATATAAAATGAAAATAAATCATCTTTATTCTAAAAGTTACGTAATAAATTAAAATATTACATATTGAAAATTTTGGTATTTAAAGCTGTAACAAACTTACATAAATTTGATTGACACAACTAATTATTTATGTTATTACTTTTTTTTTTTTCCCTTCTAGGTTCAAGTGTGTTTAGTTTATTTATTTTTTAGTACTTTAAATTATTGATTTTTTATTTAGAAATAACATGTTCAATTTTTTTCAAAATTATACTACAAGATATAGAATAATCAATTTTTATTTTATCTCTTAGAAATTGCATATCTAAATCTTTTGATTTTAAAGTAAATATATACTAAATTTTACATGTATTTCAGAAATAAGACTATCATATCATGTTCATTAATTTAGTATTATTTCTAAAGATTTTTTTGTTGAATAATATAATATATATAATTTTTTATTATTTAAAAAGGTAAAAATAAAATGTATAATGAAGATTCATAGAATATAATTGAATATTTTATGATATTTGTGTCATTATATGAAATTATTTATTGCTATTTATATTAATCAAATCAATAAATTATTTTTTGAAATGATGTATAAGATTTTCATTCTTTTTTTATTGAATTATCTCATAGGTATAAATATTAAATTTAATTTATATATTTTCATTAATAATTATGAATAATACATTATAATTATTTTTATTTAATGAAATATAATTAATTACTTGGATGTATTAAATTATATTTTATATAATTTAAAATAGTTATATTAATGTTACATAGTTTGAAATTATCTATTCATAATGAGATAATTAATATTGAGTACCAAATCTAAGTTCTAAATTTAGAATTTGAAGCACAATATATGTATATATATATATATATATATATGTGTATACTTTTGACTTGGTTTTTTTGCTAATCATTACACGAATCAAATGACCTATCTAATTGGGTTGATTAGATATCAAGTCATTTTTCAATATAAATATAATTTATAAGAAGACAAATTTATACATGATAAATAAACTGAATTTATTTAATTTGGTTTTGTGTTTATAAAATTTTAAGTAATTTATAAAATTATTTGTTTCAGAAACTGTTAAGTGATGTCATAAACTTTTTGTTTAAGTCACAAAGTGTTGATTCATATATATGTTTAAAAAAAATTGGAATAAACAATACGGATGTGACTTTTACTGTATTAGACATGCTTATACTTAGCTGCAAGTATGCATACACACACGTATATATAAAAGAATACCTCTAAATACTTTTAGATTTTTTTTTAGTAAACAAACAAACAATGTAATGTTTAATTATTTATGGTCAGTGAAGACATTACTTAAACTTACATAAAAAGTATTAGCAGAATGAAAATCAATTTTGTAGTTTTGATTTTTGTTTACGGTATGAGTATACCACGAGAGCTTAAAAGCTCATGTTTTCTCATTTTGCAAAAATATATGCCTCCCTTCGGAGGTTGGAATCAAACACTGTTAGAATATGAATCCCATTGAACAAAGATGGATCTAATTCCACTTTGTAATTAACATCATGGAGTCTACACCACAACACTAGAATATTAAAATATACTATAACATTTTTTTGAAAAGCCGCACAGGTACCACCACTCATTCATTGGAAGAGAACAAAGCCTAAAGTACAGAGATAATGGAAACATAAACCTGAACCCTCAACATCTGTATATACGTAATCATATAAGAGCTTGTTTTTGAAAAAAAAAATGTAAAAATTGTCTTGTGAATACTGATCAAGAATGGATATTGACTTCCGATACAAGAAAAAGAGCGATTCTATCCAGTTTTGAGTGAGCCTTACATTGGTTGGAAAATATGCGAGTCTTTTCATTGAAGAGTTAACGAGGCAGCAGATGGCCAACGCCCCTAAATGCAAAAGCATGAAAGATATTTGCAAATAATGCACAGGGAAAGTCTGTTTACATGATAGTAAATTCAAATTGTATTCAGAGAGATTACTCACATCCATTGCAGTAGAAGGCTTCCATCTGTTGGCTCCATGTAGTCATACTGTAGAAACTCGAGGCTCCTCATATTGTTCATCAACATTTGATCTGTTTGTGGATTGTTGAAAGACGTTCATGAAGTCAATGTGGAAGCATTTGTCACAGTAGAAAAGAAAATTTGGTACTTGAACCTAAAAGCAAACGACAGGACATGTTCACGTGCTTGTTCTTCCACCTTAAAGGTCAGCCTCTCTTCATAAATTTCTGCTGAATGGACAAAGCATGTAAATTTCACAGGACCGAGGCACAAATGACAGAGGATCAAGGCCTTTATGCTTCGACATGAAACTCGTCATCGGTTCCTTATTTCACGAAAGGTGACTTAAAGGCCCGCAAAGCCATAGCTGTGATGATCCTGCCAACGCTCTATTCCGAAAGAGCTTTGAATAGAGAGAAATAAATGTGCAGCGTTCTGGATCAGTGGCTGCATAACATTTGGAGAAAGCATGAACAAATACCGTCCCAAGCAGGATATGTTTCGTCAGATGTTTTGATTTCGCATTATTGGATAGAAAGTAGATGAACAGTGACTGGAGCAGGAGCAGTGTCGAGCACTTAATGTTATGCGATTTATCACCAACAACTGTTTCGTTTTTGAGGGTCAGCCACCAGTAGCAAACCATCGCTGGGAATCTGAGCTAGCAGAAAAGACAACGTTAGCAAAGTCTTGTGAGCCGTTATATTCACAAGCTGACCATTTCATACGCTGCAAAAATGTTGCACCTTTCCGAACAGTCCTTGTGTTGCACGTTGATGCTGGAGGTACCTTATGAACCGTTATCATGAATTTTATACTGATCATCGACTGTGACATGACACTAGCAATATTTAGTATCACAGAAAAAGTCATCTCAAGCAATGAAGAGTTGTAGTCACTGCATCAATCACATCACCAATAAAGAGAGTTCATCAAAGCCTGTAATAATAAGAGTCAGCTATTAAGAATTTACACGATAAGATCTGTCCAAGATCTGCAACGAGGGTCACGATTGTGCATGGGCAGAAGAGGTGAGGTAAAGGCGCTACAATAGAGTCTTGCCGCTTGCGAATTGAGTCTTCAGTCGAGGCAGACTAGGCTGTGCGCTCCAACACCGAAGACAGCGCAGCTCCTCATTCGTTACCTTTGCATCTACCTGAGATGGACGTGGAAGGACTCGCCTCAACTCCACTTCAGCTGAAACACGACGTGAAGGAATTTGCGTTAATTTCTTACTTGAGATTACTCGGGAGTTGCTTATCATGTGAATGTGCGGTTGTCGTATTTGAAGAGTTGGTAAGTAAGGAGACTGTTTTGGAAGCAAACCATAATCAAATAATTGAAGAGAGCCTGTTAATAGAGCACTTCAGAAAAAAGACGAAGGGTGAGATCTACTACTTAAATTCCTGTGACGAAAAAGATTTTTCTGCACAGCTCAAGCAAATTGTATTGCAGCATGAATGATTAGGAAAGAAGTGCATGAACAGATAATATTGAACACAATTATTACAACAAATGTGGTCTGAGTGTGGCTTACGTGTGGTGTCCAAGACAAGATATAATAGTGCAGCAGTCGATAATATACCGCCTTGATCAAGTCTGACCCGGAGAATGCATGAGTTGTAGTACTGAAAAGATGCTGGATGCCATCGTGTACAATTAAGTCCAATCCATCTCTTGTTGCTTTGTTAGCAACTGCTGCTTGTTCTGTCACGTTACTATTGCTCCAACATTTATGCACCATCTCGTACTACATCATCGATGCTCACCAATAGATGCGAATCTACGTAATGATGTAATTATTGACTCAAAATCTACAGCAAATCAAACATTACTGCAACCACCGACAGTGCTCTCCCCTCCCCCTTTAATTCCATAACATTCTGACACCGGGCTTAGCTGGTCAGTGGAGCAGATATTTCTAATCACTTCTGCAACGACAGAATTGTCAATACGAGATTTGAAGATACCACCAACCCACAAACATTAAGGTTCAAAGTGAACATAGAATAAATAGCCCGTATCATTGCAAAGTTATCAGCAGTTACCATTGCATGTTACTCTGGACGTAATGCAATAATCCGCAATTGCTGATCCCTGGTCCAGCTATTCTATCTACATCACTATGCTTCAACAAAAGCTATTCTATCTACATCACTTTTCTTGAGGTAGAGCTCAACATCCCAAGGGCTCAAAGTAGTCCTTCCTTCCCTGCCAACAAAACTCAAGCCACATTTCTTCAATCCTACAACGCTTCAGTCATTCAATAGATGATATTCGAGGTCTCTACATCTGCGTGAAGATACATGCACGCCAGGAACTTTAGTTAGAACTTTATAACATGAATTAATTCTCTAAATTGCTCAGTTCCTTGCAAAAGAGATGATTCATACTGCATATTGTATCCTTCTTGCGTCTCGACAATCTGCAACATAACTTATGTGCTCAATCAAGGATAATGAAGTTCATACAAAGTTTTGGTTGCTAAAAGGAACTGCTTCAACAAAAGAGAACCAAATCTGACATATACGAGTCCACGGCCATGCTACATTTTCTATGATTTCCTGACAAGCCGTGCTCTTGTCAGCACCTGCCGGGACGACCAGCATCGAAAGCACCCAATTCTTCCTATCAGTTAAGCCTCCTTGTACACTCAAAACGGCGAGATGATGATGATAAGCAAATGCAATTCTGTATAATGAGAAACCAATTCCGACTAGTTAACCGGATCCTTCACTTTCGTAAACACCCACAAACTTCATCACCAAAAATAAACTGGACCCTAAAACCTAATCTTCAGGGATGGTTTCTCTCAACTTTTGTGAGCTGGATTGACCAGGCAGAAGATTCCTTTCCCAAGTACCAACACTTCTAGCAAAAGAACAAATAAATGTTACAAGGACGCATCTATTAGATGGAAAGTTGTTGCAAAGTAGCTAACTATCATAAGAGAGAACTACTTGCATAAAAAAGATGTCAGAGCTCCAGCAATTGATCCGGGATTTTCGTGTAGAATGTAGTTCCACTCTTACATTCTAGCGAGTGATTATCTCTATCCATTAAACAACATTTGCATCGATAAAATCTTAAATCTGGTGGGAGCTTTACATGCATTCAGCACCCAGTAAAATTAGGACTTCATCGCCAAAGATAAAACTCTCTGTTGGTGGTAAACAAGCCAATACCTAAAATCTCCAATGAGTGACTATCTAAGTATCTCTTGATCGATTCGTTACAAGTGCACGTCATATAAAAGCCAAGCAACTCATTGCTTCAGCGTGCGCCTCCGGATTCCATCCACCAAAAGCGCTGCAGATGATATTTTCGATTTGAGCATGAGTTTAAGAAATGACACCATTCTTCTCTATCGTCTATGACGAGATAACTCGCAGCAAACTTCTATTACGAACTTGATGCATTCACCGACACACAGCACTCGTCCTTCCGATCACGGCATTATTGCTCTGACTCCCCTACCCTTGCAACACTGCAGCCAAATCTTCGGCTGAGAGCAAACTTGCAAGAACCCACATGCATAATCCCAAGTCCACCACGCTCACGACTCTAATTAGGTCGAGAATCTACAGTCTGCAAGCAATTCTATTTTCAGAGTTAACATTCATGATCCTAGACTGCTAATCGTATCAATTACCCCGGGATTAATTATGTCAAAGTTCACGGAACCTTGAAGAAACCGAAGAGGTTCATATTTGATTGAGAACCCAGGGAGACAACCCGTCCGCGTGTGGAAGGGACAACGATAGGATGGAGTGGATATAAGGCAAACCGGGTATCGGAACCGGGTAGCGGGTCCGCGGATTGGATGTCGCAGATGAGCGACGGACAAGACCCTCTCGACGAGCTTGAGCACGCCTGGATTGTGCACCCTTCGGCGGTGTGGAGATGGAGAGCATCACGTCCAACGAAGTCGCAGGATTCGCAGTGGGTGCTTTGCTGCTCGCCGCTGCGCTCGCAACCCCGAAGGTCGACGCCTTCATAGCCAGGGAGCAGCGCAGGTCCGTCCCGAACTCTGTTTCCTGCATTCTGTACGCTTTGTAGACGACTCCCTGATGTCCCTAGATTTTGCGAGAGTTGCAATAGGAGCTCAAGGTAATTTGAAACAGCAAAAGGGTGCCATGAATTTCGCTTCTCCCGCCCCAACCGTTCGGGTCCTCGTCAGCTACGAAAGGCTGTTCACTTGGATGTTCTTTCTTGTTGGCGACAGTTACAAATGAAATGCGAGGGATGGGTTTTTGAAAGATTATTGATTTCGTGTGGGGGTTTTGTTTCCGTTGTGTGACTTGAAATTGCAGGGACTTGAAATTGTGTATGGAATGTGGGGGCGTGACGAGAATTCCTTGCGCGCGGTGCAAAGCTCGCGGTACCATCAACCAGAATATATTTTCGTTCGACGACTCTAACAAGCCCACCACATGCCCGGCTTGTAGAGGCAGAGGCAATTTTCCATGTCCTTCTTGCTGCGGGAATAAACCTGGTTCCTCTTCCTCCTCGTAAATTGTAAGTTTTATCGCTTGTGATGTATGTCGATGGAGCTCACGGTTGTGTTTCCTTATCCTCGTTCACTCCAATTCATCACAATTCCACGTTAGGTCACGGTTCATGAATGTCTCATGAACTCACCAATGATGTCTTGCTCTCGGTTTTGTAACAATTTCTTAGGTCACGTTGAATTCTTTACCTTGAATGACCCCTTACCGTTCTTTCTTAAAGAACACGGTAGGTTGGGTGTAAATTTCAGAGTTAGCCATGACTGCTGGTGCATAATCATGAGAGGCCTGTCCTATCTTCAACAATTACCAGAAATCGGAGAAGCTTTCTACCAGGTTAGCGGTGAATCCTTCTAGAGTGATCAATCAGAAATGTTTTCCAAGTGAATTCTCATCGTGTCCGTCTATTGCAAAGCCCTGCTCCGTGCCATTGTCCAGGGCTCATTCTGCAAAGCCCTGCTCCGTGCCATTGTCCAGGGCTCATTCTGCAACGCCCCTCTGTAATCACCGTTTCTGTGGTTTTATGATCCAATCCTTCGAGTTTTGGATTGACCAGAGGCATTCTTCGATGTCCCTTCGACGCATTGTGCACCTACCTTGCCATTTTATACTACATAACGTCGACAGTGTTTGCTCTCAATCTAACCATGCATACAAAAACTGAGGCTGCAGTCAATGGCAGCTTCATTCACAAAACCCAACAATAGTTTGTGCGCATGCTTACATTCTCCTCTGCGACTGCCCGCATATCGCCTCCGTCATTCTTGTACGCTGAACTCGAGCTCCGACGAGCTATTGCCCCAAATGCTACCGAAATGTGCAAGACTCGCCCGCAACACCCAACGATTTCAGAAGCTTGACTTGATAACTTTAAATGACGGCTACTGATTGTAGATTGCTGTGGAGAGTGTTAAATTTGTTGGGTTTCAGCAGCGCTATGCTTGTGAGGCTCGATCTCAGTTGGGTCATGAATTCTGCGTGGGGCTGATTGCATGACCAGTCACGAATTCTCGGCGTTGCTTTCCGACCACATTCTCCGCTCGGCTACCACCAAGTTCATCTCGATAGCCCTCCACGTAAGCACTTGCGTGGCCCTTGGCGCCATTTGCTCCTTCCTCCACGAAGGCCTTCGCGCCATCTTCTGGTTTCAATGGCAACCATCGCGCATTCTGTTCGTTGATTAGTGGAATTCATATTTGAAGTGAAGGAGGTGGATGATAAAAATAAAAGAGGCAATTATGTGAGGATTTTTTTGTATTCTTGACATCAAAATAAAAGAAGAAATGGTGGAAATCAGTTTATTACATAATTATGGTAAAGTCGATTTCAAACATGAATTTTAAATATGAGTTTGAATGCTTAATTAGACGAAACATGAATTGATTGAAAGAAGCTATTACAATATAACCAAATGTGTCGATTTTTTAGTACTCAGAAATAATTAATATTATTTTACTGCTACAATTGTAAATTTTAAATTATGTATATTTTTTTTATCATTGTATAAGACCAAAATTTTGTATATATATATATATATATATACATACATACATACATATGAAAAATAGTCTTTTAAGTTTTTTTTAAATAGGTTTTTAAAATTTTTTTTTCTTGGTTTTTATTAAAAGCATGATCTATGTTTTCAAATAGAAACACAATATTTTTTTATGACTTCAAAAAGTTCTATTAATTATGGCATGATTTTGATTTACTTATTTTATAAAGTTTTAAATCTGCTTATATATATATATATATATATATATATATAATTATTTTATTAAAGTGAAAAGATTTTTTTTTTTTTAAATCTAAAAGTAATTACATTGATAAATAAAACTAAATAGAAGTAAGTAGAAGTTGTTTAAATTGTTTATAGTATGTTATAAAGCTTTCTAAAAGCTATGCACACTTTACACATGTTTATAGGTGATAGATTGGATGACAACTTGGTCAACAAGTTGGCTATATATTGCATATATTTATATACTTATATTAAAATTTGGTCATGTGGTGCACATGTCAAAAACTTGCCCTATAAATTAGACATGTGTCCCACAAGTTGGACATGTGTTATATAGCCTATAAGACATTATCATGTAGTTCTCTAGTAGATAATATATAAGAAGGTATAATTGAGACCTTCATCATTCTTATCAATGCCTTTCATGTATTCTATCTTGATTTAAGACTTCCTAGTATTTTTGCATTTGATAATAGTTATTATATTTTTAATTTTATATCTATCTTTTAGTTATTTTCTTTCTTTTTTTAGTAATATAAGAATAAATTGTTATTTTTTAAATTTTTTTATGATTTATCTATTGCACAATTTGACAAGAATTTTAATTTGTTATACTTGTATTTTTTTGGAAGTGAGTAGATTATCTCAATGCTTATTGTTGTATTTTAAAGGTTGCAAATTATTGTCAAGGACAAGAACTCGATGAAAGCTAAAGAGTAAGTGAGACTTTTCTCAAAAAGAAATATGACAAAATAGAAATATGTATATTAAGAAAGAAACTGGAATGGCTATTGCCAAAATACAAGAAAACTAGAGACCCTTGAAACTAGACTAGAAGCAAGAAAGGAGTTGACAAGAGTGAAGAGGGCTTCACTCTTGCCTCTATATATACTATCTAACTAGAAGCCATGTGGCGATGTTCTATAAGACCTCCAATATATGTTGACTTTCTAGGCCACATGCCTTTGCTTGCAAGGCAAGTTTTCTATGGATGGACCACGTAGTTAGCTTGTTCTTTAAGCTTCCAACATGCGTGGCACATGGCTAACTTGTTGACCAAGTTTCTAACCTAAAAGTCAACTATAGACTCCTATAAAGTCAAAGCAGCGTCTATGAAGCTTCTAAGAAGCTTCTCTAGAAGATATTACACAATTAACCTACTTTTACATACTTTTATCTATTCATATAGGTAATTATATGTATGTTCGTGACATTACCCCCCCTTCTAGGGACGAGTTCCACGAGGAGCGGTGATTATATATTGAGAAAATCTAATATGCGGCGAATTGTATTTGCTACATACTCTGATCTTTGTTCTCTTCGAAGATAGTTGATGGGTCCTCTTAGCCATCGATAGTGTCCCATTCCAGGGCGAGAAGACCACCCTGTTATTTGATCACTGTTGAGGCCTTCATAATTTCCTTCAAATAATATATTTGAAACACCATCAGGAGTCGTTCCTATCTCCAATAATATCACCAAACATCGAGAATCTCTTCCAAGGTCGTGATACCAAACGCGTTGTATCTCACCATCTATTCGAGGAAGAACATGTCGTTCTTGAGGATCTTCATCTCGGTTGCGTCGTCTTGAAGGTTGTGACAATCGCAATGTCTCATCCGGTAAGTCAGCAAACGAAGGTTCTTGAGTTGAATCCGCTGGTTGTTGGCTCTCCATCTAATTAGCGTCACAAATGCAAAGAAGTTACAAACAAGGATAGGAAATTGAATGTTATCTTGCCTCAATCTTGTCTCTTTTATAAGAGAGGTTTTCATCTTGGTTTTGATGGATGTCGTTGATGAAAAACTTTGACTTTAGCTGATGCATTTGCTAGATTCCTGGATGGCTCCCATGTGCGCTCACTAATATCATATCCGCGCCAATGAACAAGATATTCTAGCTTATTTCGGCGCCGCCTTGAGTCTAATATCTCTTCCACCTCAAATTCTTCATTATTATCTACTTCTATAGGAGGCGGTGGCATTTGTCTTCTTCCTTGTATATCCACTGTCTTATATGGTTCAAGAAGAGACACGTGGAATACAGGATGGATCTTCATTGACTCCGGTAGATGTAACCGATATGCAACTGGGTTGATCTATTCAGAAACAGAAAAGAGGCCAAGCCTACGATAGTCCAATTTGTCACAAGGTCGAGTGGTCTTGATATTGCGACGAAGTAGCCATACCTTATCACCCACGTTGAGTTGTGGTTGCTCTTTACGATATACATCTGCATTTATCTTTTGTCGTTCTTGAGCTTTCTTCAACTGCGCCTTCATTATTGCATGTAACTCTGACAACCGATTTGCCATATCTTCTGCTGCAGGATTATCAACTTTTGAAAAATCAAAAGTATCAAGTCGTGGATGATAGCCATAATTGGCAAAGAAAGGTGTTTGTTGCGTGGAGGAATGTACCGTATTATTATAAGCAAACTCTGCCAATGGCAGAAGGTTTGTCCAATCATCTTGTTGGTAGTTGATAGTACACCTTAAATACTGTTCCAAGACTTGGTTTACGCGCTCTGTTTGTCCATCAGTTTGAGGATGGAAAGCTGAAGATAGCTTTATGTCCACTTTTAAAATCTTGAAAAGAGTCCTCCAGAATCTCGACACAAATTGAGTTCCCCTATCCGATATGATATCTTTAGGTAATCCATGATAGCGATAGATATTATCAATGAAAAGCTTAGCTGTTTCTTCACCTGTGATAGATTTTGTACATGGCATAAAATGTGCCATCTTGGTGAAACGATCTACTATCACAAATATAGAATCATAAGATCTTGAGTTTGGAAGATCTGTGATGAAATCCATAGAAACAGAAGACCATGGTTGTTCTGGTATAGGTAATGGCTGAAGAAGTCCGTAAGGTCGATGTCGAGGAATTTTTGATCTTGAACAAATATCACATGATTGTACAAAGTCTTTGACTGACTTCCACATTTGTGGCCACCAAAAATCTCTTGATATGAGTTCCAGAGTCTTATTATATCCAAAGTGCCCTGCTGCTGGAAAGTCATGACGTGCTTGAAGAACACGCAAACGTGCTTTTCCTTCTGGAACATATAGGCGTCCTTCAAAATATAATAGATTATTCTTGAACTCGAACTTAGAAGAATCATGAGACTTGGAAGAATTATTCTCGATATCATAAACAAGAGGGTCTGAGGACATACTGGACTGGATTTGCTTGAGAAAAGTTGAATCAACAATCAATGTTGATTTCATTGCTCGGAGATAAAATTGCTCTGGTTTCAAGAGGACCGTTCTTTGTTGCTCAAAAGCTGCATCTCCTTCTTTTGGTGCAAAATAAGAA